TTTGTGGCCGGCTGAATGGAGGGCTGCCGGAGTCCTTCTTTCAGGAGGGAGCGGATTTTAGATAAGGTCTGAGAGTAGGCACCCCAGAACTGCTAGGGAGAAGGAGGAAGTAGATTTTACACTAAGTCTGAGAGCAGGCATTGCAGAATTGCCAGCACAAAGCACACAAACAGGTAGAAGAAGCTCAGACTCACCCTTTGTGTTCCAGTCTGGTCAGAAGGTGCAGTGACTGCCAGGCTCGGTGCCAGCAGCCCCTGTCAGAGGAGGAATCCCAGGAAGTAAGCACAGAGACAAAAGGCTGTAGGCCACATGAGAGGGAAGATAGATACAGAGACAAGGTGGACATGAGAAACTGGCTTTATCATCACACCCTTTATGGGGAAAGGCAGTTATTTCCAGCTCCTCTTGGTACTTGGGTACCAGAATAAACCCCTGCATCAGCGCCACATTCGGCCTTCTAGCGTACTTGCTTGGTGGCTTTTCAGCTAGTTAGCTGTCCTCGGACCCCATGTCCCCGTATGGGTTTGCTGGTCCTTGGTGTCCAGAAAGACAAACAAGACAGAGCAAACATGCACAGAAATACTGACCAGAAAGCATTCACGCACCGAGCTTCAGAGGTCCATGAAAGTGGAGAATGGGGCTGCACACCTGCCACAGGGAGGCCGGGTGGCACAGAAACATCTCCTGCCACTTCTGGGTTTCACCACCATGATGAAAGGTTGGAGACGGAGGCAAGGAACAGAGATAGAATTTAGCCAGGAATGTGAAGCTGAGAAAGATTTTATTGAGGCAGGGAAAGAACTCCTGAGAGGGAAGGGAGAGCAGAGGAAGGAATGGGGGCATCTTGAGCACCTGGGAAGGTTCCGCAACCCAAGGAGTTAGGTCAGGGAAGTCGCTTAAAGGCATATATGCGGTAAGGGGAAGGGAGGTTCTTTGTGTGGCAGTTGCAAGTTTCGGGTCAGGTGACGTTTTGTTAGTAAATCATGTTGCTCCTAGGAAACAATGCTAAGGAGAGGGGGGCTGTGTTCTGTCCGAGGAGGTAAGCTCTGTGAAATGCTGAAGGGAGGTGCTTTGTAGTTCAGGTGCTTTGAAATTCAGCCAGGTCATTTGTCTTCTCGAGAAGCTGGCAAGGGGCTGCCTTGGTCCAGACCCAGCCCAAACACCTGAAATGGAATTCATTTCAACCAGAGACGGAGTGTGGTCCTACACCCAGGAAAGTACATTTTCGTAATGCCCATCTTCCAATGCCAAGTCGCTGTCAGCGATCCCTGCCCTGCCCTGCAAGGCACAGGTCTGCACTCTCCAGGGTGGCCGAGATGCTCTTGTCGCAGACTTGGATTTTACCCTCCAGACTTAGAGCTAAAAGGCTCTTCACAGGAGTTAAAGCATTACAAGGGGTTGGAGCATTCTGCCTCGCCCCAGCTCACCAACCAAGATAGAAACTCCCATTCCCTTTAGACCTCAGAGACATCCACGTCTTGGCTTATACATTTCCTCACTCATTCTGGGGTTTTTGTTCAGACATGAAACAGACTTTAAATAGATATGTGTGAATGTTTGACCATCCTGTGTTTTATATGACCTCATTACCTGTCATATAAAAGCCATGGCATTTTCAACAGCCTCCTATGAACATGAAAAATAGACATTGAATAAGGAAGATGGAAACAGAACTGATGCATACAAATCAGGGTGCTAGCGAAGACTATCGAAAGTACCGTGCACTTCCAAAAGAACAAACCAGTCTGTCTCAGAAGAAGTACAGCCAGAATGCTCCTTAGAAGCGAGGCGAGCAAGCCTGCATGTCACCTGTTCTGGACATACGACCTGGGGGAAGACATTATGCTTGGAAGGGTAGAAAGGTAATGACAAGGGGAAGACACTCAGCAAAATGCCTTGGCAGAGTGGCTGCAGCAATGGGCTCAAACCTAACACTTGTGAGCACGGTGCTGCACCTGTGTCGTTGTGCTGTGCACAGGGTCACTGTGAGTCAGAACTGACTGGGCGGCACCCGACAGCAGCCGCCACGGCGACTGGTTACAATACAGGAATGAGGTGTCCTCGCTCCCTCTCCTAGAAAACCCTCTATCAGGAGGGAGGGAGGGAGGGAAGGAGGAGCAAAAATGAGGAGCTGATACCTGGGACTCAAGTAGAAAGCAAATGTTTTGAGAATGATGAAGGCAATGCATGTACAAATGTGCTTGACACAATGGATATATGTTTGGATTGTGATAAGAGTTGTACGAGCCCCCAGTAAAATGAGTTGTTTTAAATCTCTCCCCTTTCCACTGTCCGCGTAGCACATCTCATGGTACAAAGGCTCTGCTTTGTTTCAGGGACCTTTTCTGAAACCAAAATAAATTCTACAAAATGAATTTGATCAGAATATGTTTCAAACAGGGTGGGCCATTTATTGACACACCTGCGAAGCCGAGCGGCTTGGGCTGTGAAGGAGACTGGAAAAGCAACCAAAAGACTGAGCAGCACCCTGTCCCGGCTCTCCCCCTGAGCTCAGTCCTGCCGGGACTCTGTCGAGCAGGCACAGGAAATGCCCTTCCTGGGATAATGCCCAGTGTGCCGCCATCCCCCAAGTGGACTGAGACCTACCTGCTCTTTAACGTGTCCTCCACATCAGCCAGGTTTCCGAAGCTGCTCTCCGGTCCGGGCGAAACGTGGTACGGGGGCCATTGGGCAGGACGGGGTGGTGTGTTGTTCTGTTGGGCATAGATAGGGTCGCTACCAGTGGGACTGAGTCAAGGACATCTAACAGCAGCAACTGCACATTGAAGGAGATGGCATTTTAAAGCAAGTCATCTTTGAGGCACTCTGTAAAATCCATCGGGCCTTATGGATTTACCACCTGGAATGATGTGCTGCTCTAAGTAGTTTGGCCTGAAAACATTTGAACTTTGATAAATAATTGTGGGGATAGCGAGGGATGGGCCGTGGGGGTGGGGTGGTTGGCGGCACAGTGGTTGCAGGATCGATCAGCTGCTAATGGAGGATCAGTGGTTCAAACCCACCAGCCGCTCTACAGGGGAGAGGCATGGCAGCCGGCTCCCATAAAGCATGCAGCCTGGGGGCCCTGGGGGTAGTCCTAGTCTGTCCTCACAGGCCGCTGTGGGTTGGAATCCATTCGACCCAATGGGTTTATTGTATGGGAGTTCAAACATGATTGTGGATGTTGAAATCCATGCATATGGAGTGTTTTGCTGCTGCTGCAATAGCCTGCGTGTCTTTGATGAACAAGCCCCCCAAGAAAACCCAAACCTACTGCCATCGACCAAGTTGATTGCAACTTATGAAGACCCGATCTAGGGGCTCGGAGCCTGTCAACCATTGTGAGAAGGAGCAGACAGCCTCACATTGTTCCCCCAGAAGAGCTGGGGGCCCAACCATTAGCCTTGTGGGTAGCAGTCCAATGCGAACAGGTTGCTTTTATCATAAATGAAAAAGTACTGAAAGCTACACACACACACACACACACACATAAGCACACACTCGCTTACATGCACACAAACACACACCCAGAGACACTAGCACCATTACTCTGTCAATGAGTCCAAAACAGAAATTGAGCAGATTTCAGAGGTTTACTTTATTCGAAGAAATTACATATAAGAGTAAAAAGCAGATGGAAAAAGACCAGGAACTCAGGAGCTGTGACCTGCAAGGCTGACGAGATGGCCAATCTTTTACTTCATCTTCTCTTTTTCTCTTTTTCTTCAGCACATCCATCAAGCCCGATGGACCCCCCAGCCAGCGCATCTTAGTAATGACAGTCTAGAAATTTAAAATGCACGATGGTCAGTCAGAGCATCGTAGGAACAAAAGAACCTAAGCTAAGGCGGGTGGTGCATTCCCTGGAGAACAGGTAACTCTGGCCAGCAGTTACCTGGTGAAAAGGGAGGGTAGGAGAGGAGGCACAATTCCCCAGACTAAGATTGTCCTCTTTGGGGCCCAAGCTCCCCAAATTATTAGAAAATTCTCAAGTGGTTCTGGAGGTGATTCGCAAACAAGCCCACAGCCGCAGAGCTGCTCCTGTCCTGTCCTCAGGAAGAGACCTCTTGGATCTACCTGGGGGCAGCCTTCTCTCCGCGCAAGGCAGAGATCTAGGGGCGTGGCCGGGGGTGAGACTGCTAGATGGCTATGTTTGCAGCCATCAAGAACCACGCACCCCGATGCCGGGGCCTCTGACCTCAGAAAAGGGGACCATTCCTGTCCAGAGTCAGGACAGGTTCACGGCGAAGGCCATTGTGCATCTTCCCCTGAAACAGCCGCCCACGGAGTCACAGTGGCTCTACCGGTCCAGCCCCCACCGAGCCAGGTGAAAGGACAGGGGCGTTACCTTGCACGGAGATTGGGAAGAAGCACCAGGGCACTTCCGGGATGGTGTTGGAAAAGCAGCACTTGCGGGAGGCACAGTCTTGCTGGCTGATGCCCGGGTACCCACAGTTCTTGCGGCTCTTCACTTCCATGACGCACTGCTCCGACTCTGCTCACGGCCACCGGATCCGCCGGGGAGGGACGGCACAGAGACGCAGTGAAGCCACCGCCTGCCCGAAGCTCCCACGCCTGCCCTCCCTCGGCAAATACCACAGCCTCAGTGTGTCTCAGGGACTGTCACCTCTGGCACAGTAAAACCAGAGTTCCTCAGGCCCTGGGCAGTGCAAATGGGTTCACCGGCTAGGCTGCTCAGGAGACCGGCGGTTCGAGTCCACCCAGAGGTAATGTTGAAGAAAGGCCTGGTGATCGACTTCCAAAAGATTGTTCACAGGAAACCATAGGGAGCACAGTTCTACTTTGACACTCATAAGGTCACTGTGAGACAGACTGACTCAATGGCAATGAAAAAAAACAAAAGTATTCATCCTGCCAGCAATGGGCTGCCTCTGCTCTCTCTCTGCCAACCGGAACTGACGTGGGATAGTGGCCAACAGCCAGAATCCAAAGGACTGGGCCTTGGGAAAATCACTGAGCCTCTCTGGACTCAGTAAACCGCTCTGGGGAATAGGGACTGCCACTGCATCAGGATGAGGAAAGGTTTCTGAGTGGCCTTTAAGGACGTACGTGTTTGGTCAGGGTGTGGACTTCACAGCAACCCTGCCACCGGGATGGGAGGTTCCGCTAACAGCCAGCTATCTGCCTTGCTTCATTTCCAGAATCAAGTGAGCCCCTGGCTGACAGCCCTGGAGAGAGACACCTCCTAGGTGTGTGGAAGAGGGCCACGGGCGGGTTTGATCCTCACAGGATGCTCCTCCTGGGCAGCCTGTTAAGGTCCTAATAGGAATTGGCATACAACTCGCTGCGAAAAAATAATGCTAGAATGTGTCACTTAATTAACCATCACTTCTCTTAGAAGTTCCCCCAGAAGTTATGGAAGAGAGTCGAATGCCTTGCTATTGTTGTTCAAGGAAAGCTGAGCTCAAATAGCTACACAGCAGCAGCCCAGGTGGACACCGGGGTGCACTGGCACGTAGCCCTTCCCTTTGGGTCTGAGCCAGGGCTGGTCTACCAGCTGGGTGATCACAAGTGCTGGTGGGTGGAGGGTGGGCTGGCTGCTGGCCCTGCTGCTGTAGACCCCCACATCCCCCGGAGGGGGCTCCTGCTCCCCAGACAGTTTACCTTGCATCGGAAGTGGGGTGAAACACCAGGGGACGCCAGCCACATTGGAGTCGAAGCAGCACCCGGCAGCGAAGCACTGGTCACTGGTGATGCCAGGGAAGCCACAGTTCTTGCGGTTTTGGGGGCTCAACCTTGAACACTGGCAGGGGGCTGGGGGAGAAGGCTCATCAGCCAGACCTGGCCCTGGGCGTCCCTGCCCACCCAGCTCCACAGGGCTTTCAAGGACACCCAGGATGAGAGACAAGGCCTTATCTTGCCCGTGTTTGAATGTTTTACAACTCTTTTCTGAAGAGCTGCCAGGGTTTTGCTCAAACTGTTTAAAAAGTTTAAAAGGAGAGGCAACATAGCCCTCTGGACAGAGGACCCAGAAGGGGGTCCGAGGAAGGGGTAAGCAGCTTGGACCCAGAGGAACCCTCAGTGGCCAGCCCTGCTGACTCGGGCCCCCACCCCCACCCCCGCTCCGCCTGCCCTCACCCCTGCAATTCTTCACACCTTTCTCAGAGGGGATCCTTCTTAGAGGTCTGCTTAGCCCCCCAAGTCATGGGCAATCCAGGGAAGGCATACGCAAGCCTCTATTTTAGGTGACCAGAACACCACACATTTTGAGATGCTCTCTCAACTGCGCCTCCTCTAGAATTAAGGCTGCATTTGGCCTCCGCCCTTAGAAGAAACCTAGAATAAGAGATCCCCTGGAGGTGGGAGGAGGAGCCCCGGCAGAGAGCAAGGTCAGCCCCTGCATCCTGGGGCTCTGCCAGCCCAAAGCACGTCATGTCACAGCAGAATAGACAGAGCCCCAGAGGGCTACCTGCGGGCATTCACTTACAGGGCTTTGTGCTGGCCGCCAGGGCACACAGACTCAGGACAAGAAGTGCCACCAGGAGCCCAGGGCCTCGAGGTGCCATGCTGTAGGTGCGCAGCTTCTTCCAGGATCCGCCTACAGAAAGTCCAGTCCTCCCTCCACGGGGAGTTTTATAATCTCCTCTCTGTTTGCTCAGCATGCCCAGATCACCTGCCTGCTCCCCCTCCCCGATGGCACCAGCCATTTGGGCCCTTTGTTAGGAAAGGGGACTGAGATATGTGCCCAGCAGAGGCAGAACGGAGGTGAGGGGTGGCCATGGCTTCCGGGGTGAGGCTTCCGGCCCCGCTGTCCAGGCCTCCCCTGCCCTGGGTGGAGAACCGGGTCATGCCAAGCTAACAGCCAGGCTGCCAACGTGGAAAGCTAATGCCGTGCGCATCCGGCACTGGGCAGAATGGGGACATACACAGGCTCAGGCCCAGCAGGGGATACATCGTGCATTTCTGCTGATAAAGGGCACGCCACCACTAGATTCTTCAAAGCTGTTGGAGTCAATGCTAGTGGGAAACATGGAAGGGCGTGCTGCTGGCAGCGAGATGATCCCTTAGAAAGGAATGGGGGAATCTTTGGGGACCCAGAGAAACCCATCCTCTGGAACCCCTTGGTTAGACGCTTCTCCCAGGCACAAAGCTCACCAGTGGCTGAAGGCCCTGTCGCCATCTTCAGGAGCAGAGGGTTCTGTCTGTGGAGATGAGGCTCACTCCTGGCCTGCCCTGCGTGCTGAGCTTGGCTGGTACAGCCCTGGAGGGCTGCTAGTAGGCACTCATTGCCTCAGCCTGGCTGGGCACGCCATGGTGGCTCGATTCTGCCACCTACACTTCTCCACTTCCTTCACACTTTCATTCTGCACACTCTGAGGATGACCCTGTCTTTACCGGCTCACGGAGGAAATAAAAGCCACCAAAGGGCAGCTCTCTCAAAGCTCATCCAGGTGGACTTCCCCTTCTGACCACATTGCAGTAAGTGGCATTAACGTAGCCTTCCTTCCACCGGACAGCATGCACGAACTCTTGGCAGTTCCCGACTGTGATCAAGGAACGGGCCTCTTTTCTCTCTGGAAGCACTGGCTGGAATACAACACAGACCAAGGTGGCCCCAACAGAGCACAGCCATCTGGAGGGAAAGGCGTTGTTGGTGCTGTGTGTCAGCGAGTCAGTCCCAACTCACAGTGACGCTGCACACAAAGAAACAAAACACCGCCCGCGGCTGTGCCACCTCACAGTCCGTCCTGTCATTGTTGGGTCAAGCCATCCTCTCTTTCGCTGCCCCTGCACGTTACCAAGCAGGATGTCCTTCTCCAGGGACCGGTCTCTCCTGACAACATGTCCAAAATGCGTGAGATGACGTCTCGCCATCCTTGACTCTAAGAAGCACTCTAGCTGTACTTCCTCCAACCCGGAGCTGTCTGTCCTTGCAGCAGTTCATGATGTCTTCAATATTCTTCTCTGGCACCATAATTCAAACTCACTCATTCTTCTTCAGTAAGGATACAGGGACAGGATTGGGAGCTACTGAGGCAGCTGAAACATAGACTACCATAGAAAAGGGTATTCCTATTTATAAATATGAATGGGGGTCTTTGTGGACTTGGGGGCAGATCCTAAGCTGCCCGTGAACATAAGGCCAGACAAAGGAGAAGTACAGGGTAGAGACAAGCTCTGGGGAGATGTAAATGAAAAGCTACTGGGGTTCTTGCAAAGCTGGGAGATAGAGGAGTGTGACTTAGGGGGAACAAATTGCTGATCACCTCAGGTATTCAACTGTGTCCCAGAAAAGTCACGCCATCAGAGGAGATCTCATCTAGTGCTCGATGAAATCTCCCCTCTGGACCCACTTTACCACAACCTGCCCCTGAAAGGAGCAGGTGAATCTACATGCAAGTTAACTGCCAAACAGAACAGAACACTTCATTCAACAAGACAACAAGATGCAGGCAAAGAGCAACACAGCATACACAATGTCTAACACAAAATCAAAATGTCTTAGATATATAAAGAACAGGAAAACATCACCCATTTTTAATAGGCAAAAAGTTAATATTTTAATAGAACAATATAGAAAAACTTATTTGTTGCTGTCAATTCCTACTCATGATGCCCTATATGCAAATATATTTATATATGATGAGGAGGAAATAGATCTATATGCATATATTTATAGGTTTAGTATTAAGATAGCAGATGGACATGGGGTCTCTGCTCAAGTACTCCCTCAATGCAAGAACACTTTGTTCTATTAAACTGGCATTCCAAGATGCTCTCCTTCCTGACACAGTTGCTGAAGACAAAACGGGTACATAAGCAAATGTGGTGAAGAAAGCCGATGGTGCCCGGCTATCAAAAGATATAGCGTCTGGGGTCTTAAAGACTTGAAGGTAAACAAGTGGCCATCTAGCTGAGAAGCAACAAAGCCCACATGGAAGAAGCACACCAGCCTGTGTGATCACGAAGTGTCGATGGGATCAGGTATCAGACATCAAAGAACAAAAAGTCATACCATTGTGAATGAGGGGGAGTGCAGAGCCCATTTATAGGCAACTGGACATCCCCTTACAGAAGAGTCGTGGGGGAGAGACGAGCCAGTCAGGATGCAGTGTTGCAACAATGAAACATAGAACTTTCCTCTAGTTCTTAAATGCTTCCTCCCCCCCACTATCATGATCCCAATTCTACCTTACAAATCTGGCTAGACCAGAAGATGTACACTGGTACGGATAGGAATTGGAAACACAAGGAATATAGGAGAGATGATCCCACAGTGACGATACTGGGAGGGTGGGGGGAAGATGAGGTAGAAAGGGGGAACCGATTACAAGGATCTACATATAACCTCCTCCCTGGGAGATGGACAACAGAAAAGTAGGTGAAGGGAGATGCCAGACAGTGTAAGACAGTGTATGACAAAATAATAATAATTTTAAAGTATCAAGGGTTCATGAAGGATGGGGAGAGAGGAGGAAAATGAGGAGCTGATACCAAGGGCTCAAGTGGAAAGCAAATGTTTTGAGAATGATGATGGCAACAAATGTACAAATGTGCTTGACACAATGAATGTATGTATGGATTGTGATAAGAGATGTACGAGCCCCTAATAAAATGATTTAAAACACAAAACACAAAACAAATCAGAAAGAAAAATAGTAGAACAAAAATACAGAGGAAAAAGAAAAAAAGAAGAAAGAAATAGATTCAGAAATAGAAATAACAGAATTAGAAGATCAGGACTTATGAAAGGGTAGTATAAACAGCCTCCAAGGTTTAAAGAAAACCCCAAATACAATGAGTAACAATTCAAAAGCCTCGATAGAGAAATGGAAATTTTAAAAGTGAACCAAGTGTGAATTCTAGAAATAAAGACTAAGACACCTGAAGTGAGAGAGTCACTGAAGATGCTTAAACAAGACATTGATCATTAGATACTGCATAATAGATGACCAGTTTGCCTTAAATCCAGGATAACATGTGCTACTCAAACAGGAAACTATGAGAAGAAAGGAGCTGGGGAAAAAAACAAGGAACAGAGCATTAATGATCTGTTGGACAATATATAGCTACCAAGATTGGTGTGCCAACAGTAGAGAAGAGTGAGACTGGGCAAGAAAACAATGTATGAAAAAACAGTGGTCATTTTTTCCAAAACTTTTTTAAAAAAATACAAGCTCAAGACGTTCAACAAATCCATGCAAGATAAATATGAAGAGCACCACACCAAGTTCTATCATGATCAATTGTTAAAAATCAGGATAAAAAACAATTCTTAAAAAAACAGATGGAAAAAAAGATAGGCTGCTTATAAGGGAACAAACATAAGAGCCGACGTCTCATCTGAGACTGCAATTCACAGGCAATAGAGCAATGTCTTTAAAGTGCTGATAGGGAACGGGTTTTCAACGCTCAGTGAAAATCACGTTCAAGAATGAAGGCGAAATCGTTTCTTAGACTAACAGCCGCTGAGGAACTATGCCACTGACGTGCCTGTTCTCCAAGGAACTTTAAATGAAGTTCTTAAGTTTGTGGCATGTACTCGACAAGATTGCTACTGCCATCATTTGTCTGAATTGACTCAGTAATGGCATCTACTTGGACTCAGTAAGCACTTTAGACTACAGCCCAGGCTAGTCTGTATTCCTCCTCACTTGGTTTATGTAACTCCTCCTAACAGTTCCCTCGACAGCAATCGTTTTGTTTTTTCCTTCCTCCCTCCAGACAGTAATCTGGTACTATGATGATCTCTGTAGAGTTAAAATCCGCCAATGTCATTCCACGTCCACTCTTTGGCTCTCTTCAACCTGTAGGATAAAGACTAAATTCCACAGAAGTAAAAGCAAATTCCTTGAGGAACTGACCATCTACTAGGTTCTCCTCCTGGTATAAATACCCACGTCTCTACACCTGGCTGGTTTGTGAGCCTTTGCTCGTTGGCGCTCACCTCTCTGCAGCACCCTCTCTTCTCTCTTGTCTTGCTGGCTCCTTGTCATCCTCCAGTTCTGAGTTCAGGAATCACTTCTTTTACAGTGGCTTCTCTTTTCCCCCCAAGAATGTCTTAGTTCCCCAACGATGAAGTTAGATGCCTTTCATCCTTTCCCCCACCCAAAATCAAAATCAAACCAACTGCCAATGAGTTGACACTGACTCATAGGATTTCTGACCCTGTAAAAGTTTACCGGAGCAGACAGCCGCATCTTCCCCACACGGAGAGTTGGTGGGTGTGAACGCCGACTTTGTGGCTAGCAGCACAATGCCTCCCTCCCACAGCACCCTCCTTTTTTATATGAATTGTAACATTTAGTCCACCACATTTTCCTGACTCTTTTGTTAATTATACCCATGATGACAGCTAATACTTACAGTGGTATTAATTTGTGCAAGGCAATATATTTTTTTGTTGTTGCTAGGAATCAGTGGAAGGCCTGATCATCAGCCTTTTTTTTAAATCGTTTTATTAGGGGCTCATACAACTCTTATCACAATCCATACATACATCAATTGTGTAAAGCACATTTGTACATTCATTGGCAAGGCATTATTCTAAGGGATTTATCTGCCA